CTTTCTGCAGAGATAAAGGCGTGGCCCAGTTGCAGTTCTTACTGGCACTCAGAGTGCACAAGGTCGTTAATCCAGCTCTTGACTGGTGGACTTCAGTTACCATGTCGGCTGTTTGTCTGATGCTCTATTTGTGACCTCCCTTCTTTGGTGTTACAGCTAACACAGAAACTGCACTCAGGGTAGATGTTACCAGAAGGCTTGGGAAGGAGCCATGTGAAAGGAAGAAGGAAGTAAAGCAGGAGCTCTGGATCTTACAGAAGCAATTAGGATGAATTTATGGTTTTATCATTGATCTTTGTGGACGAGCTTAGTACATGCAGTTAATCCCTTTTTAAAAAAAAAACCTATGTTTACATAAGTCAGTTAAGTTTTTTTTGACAGACTTCTGTCTGCAAAAGTTTGGCGGGAATGTTCTGTATAGAGGAATAAAAGTCAGACTGGAAAAGGAAGCAAATTGAAATCAAGTAAACTTTAAATGATCTAGGAGAAATAATGGAACATGGCTGACAAAATTTATGTTAACTTCTGTCACAGAAGAGAGGGTGTTAACATGGTCACATACACCAGTGTAGAAAATTCAGGTCCTGTAGAGTGACAGTTCTGTGTAAGTCAAGAAAACATCAAGGTATTAATTACATCAACAGAGAACTTACAAAGGAATTGCTTAAAGAGCTCTTGAGAAGTGAAGGAGCACAGAATCAGCCATAATGTAACACAGATTTGGAAGCAGCTATAATCCCAAGACTAGACGATGAAATATAAGCCATTTTACTATTATTAGATCTTAGACTCTGAGAAAGTTCTACATGGAGTTGGAATTGAAGTCTCTGATGGTGTTAATGTTTATCCTCTGGGCACTTAAAGAGTGGACACAGCAGAGCAAATGGAAGTGTGATTAAGAAATTCTTAAAGTGATCAAGCAAGAGTTTGAGACTAAGGAGGGGTAAGGATTATATAATTATTTTAATTTAAAATTTAAATAAGTTTTGTTCATCTCTTATTTCCAGTCCTTCCCTCCCACCCCCACCCCCACACAGAATGGTATGGGGAAGAGTAGTTGTTTAGGAGATAGCATCTCCACACACACACACACACACAGAGAGAGAGAGAGAGAGAGAGAGAGAGAGAGAGAGAGAGAGAGAGAGAGAGAGAGAGAATGGTATGGGGAAGAGTAGTTGTTTAGGAGATAGCAATTATAGAAAGGTAAAATTAAAAATGGAAGAGGCATGGCAGCATGTGGCTATGTATAATTGATTCTCCCTTAAATAACCAGCATAGGTTTCTGAAAGTAACGTGCTTGTGAGAGTCATCAGATGGGTCTTCACTGTAGAAAATGGTACAGTGTGAAGGCTGTTGAAGGATGGGCTGTGGGATGCTTCTGAACGGGAGCCTGTTCATTTCTGAGGCTAGGAAACGTCATCGTCTGAAGTGAGGTTGCAGGAGTCACTTCTTCTACCACGTGGACCCTAGAATTGAGCTCAGGTTGTCAGGCTTGGCAGCAAGTACCCTAACCTCTTAGGCAATCTTACTGGACTTCAGCATTATTAATAAGTAAACATGATTTTCTTCATAATGTGAAGTCTTTGATGAAGTCAGAAACAAATTCACATAAAAGGAATATTTTGTGGTGATGTTGAATATGGTAGTACCAGTCAATGTACTGATGGAATGATTAAAGCCAAAGGGCTTTGGCTCATGTACTCTGCTTACGCCCTTGTTCGGTATTATGACCTTGTAGAAAAGTTAGTTTATCCGAGCCTTGGTGATAATGTGTCCTGGTACTATAGCTTTATTATGAAGCATGATACTTAGATGATGGAGATTTCATATTTCATTCTAGTAAAGTGAAACAGCACTTAATTTTTTTGTACTTTACAGAGTTAAAACCATTTTAGTCTAATGGTATTTGACCTGTTTGTTACTTTGACATAGCTTGTTAAACAAAGCTGATGACACACTTACACCTCATTATAACATATGTATACATTTAAATATATTTGTATATGTGTATCAGTCTGCCATTCACAATTTCAAAAATTAAAGAAAATTGTGTTTGCAACTATTTATTCTATCTTATTTGTATACATTTTGTCATGGATAGGTTTGTTGTAAGAGATTTTCCCAGACATCAATAGAGGTACTATGTTATCTGTGGTATACTATCTTTTTTGTAAATCTAAAAATCTCTGCAATCTCAAGACTCTTATGATGCCACGAGTTCTAAGCAAGTGTTATAGTTTTTAAATGTTCATACTTCAAAGATTATTTTGCTATTCATAGCGTTCTGATAGTCTTTATAATTCCCCCCCCCCCCCCATGGAACTAATCTGTTCTGTGACTCAGCAATACCACTTCTTACCCAGAATAAGTCAAATTTTAGATTCACAATGATGCCTGTTTGGGAATTTTCAGAGTGGCTATATTTATAGTGTATCCTCAAACTAGAAGCAAGCAAAAATCTATAGCAAGAGAATGAATTAAAAAAACAAAGCACTACTTGGTCATTCAAACAATTTGCTGCCACAGGCAACATGGATGAGTATCATAAGCATCTTACTTAGAAAACTTGACCACTGAAATTGCATGTGGTACCATTCTCTTAAAGTCTGGGATTGAAAAACTGAACTGTGTCAGGGGGAAAGCCACATTAATAGTGGTGCTTAAACACAGAGAGAAGCTGGTGGAGATGCTCTGTCTTCGCATGTATTCATCAAAACTGGCCAAGTGTATATCTTTAAATCTCGGGGTGCCGTTGCCTGTAAATTATGCCTCAGGTTTTAAAGTGATTTTAAAGGTAGGGTAAATAAAACATGAAACATTAAGGAAATTGAAGATAATAGCATAAACAGTGTAAAATACAAATTTTTGACCTTATACAGTTTCCTAGGAGCAGTTTCATTATCCAGCCCCCCTAAAGTAATTATCACTCCCTGACATTGATATATTGACTTGATAAAAATACCATATAGGTCGTAACTTGAGGTCTCAGAGACAGTTGTGGTCTGTGAAAGTTTTAGAAGAACTAGGGGAGAGCGTTTACATCATAGCATAAAACTTACCAGCAAGCTTTCGTACCTGAGTTTACATTTGAAAAACAAGGTTAGGCAAGTAAATATGATACATTTCTGTCAAAAACGGAGCAATAGAATTGAAACAACCACTTGCATGTGAAAATAATTGTGTAATGAACATCATTGTCTTGTGCCCAGCATTCAGCTCTCTGAGTAAAGAGTGGTAGGCGGTGAGGATGTGAAAATAACAAAGCTCATTCAGGAATGACATAACTTGGGTTTAGATTCTAATTTTGCCATATAACTCCTTTGGGGATGATGAAGCCATATTAATGAATTCAGCCTTCTGCAGTGACCACACCATAGTTATTGTTATATGCATTGTTACATAGATTAAATTTAAGCCAACTGTTGATAAATTTTAATATTTAGTATTAATATTTTTAATGAACAAATTTAGGAAGTTTGATCATAATAGGTTTCTACTTCCCTTCTAATAATAGCTCACTTATTTTATATTTAACCAAATAAGTCATTTATTGTATTCATCTTTATACAAATTGATGTGGATCAAAGAATAATAATCCAACAAATATGGCGGTATCTTCTTTTACTGCAAAGGAGACTTTAAAGTTGTCAGTGGCCCATCAAATGTTATCGTCATAATGGTTTCACTTATTTCTTTACTTCTGTGTGATTTACTAAATACCAACTCAGCAGTTCTTTTACTACAAATTACATTGTATCAGTCCCTGCTCTGAAGATCTTACCGTGTAGGTTGTAACAGAAATGGAAGGCTGAGAAACTTGCATCTGTCTTAGTAATAGTCCTCCCATGTTTCAAAGTGGATTTGCACTGAAGTGGGGTACTTAATGCCATAATCTTTAAAGGACAAACTTCCTAATTCTTTCCCTACATTTCTGTTTGACTTTTTCTAGTTAAAAATTGTCCTTTAGAACTCAGACATTTGAGCTTTGTCAGTAAACTTAGGTTTCTCATGGTAATCATTTAATAAATACATTTTAGCCAGGAGTACTTGGGAGGTGGGCAGAAGGAACTCTTGAGTTTGAGGCCAGCCTATTCTACTATAGCTAGGGCTATGTAGTGAGACCCTGTCTCAAAACAAACAAAAATTAGTTCCAACACATACTTTTTGGGATCAGTATGTAGGGATTAGGTGGTGGTAAATAACAAAATCATGACTATTCTAAAGGCGCTTACTTTGGGAGTGGTAGTATTCAGCAAGCTGTAATTGAAGACTGAAATCATAGAATGAAAGGGTAGCCCCTGGAGAAGGGAGTGTTTTTGTTGGATTTGCGGTACATAAGTAGGACATGGAAAGGGAATCATACAGGAACACGTGAAGAGTATTTACAAATAGGCAAGGGGGAATAAACACTAAGACATTTAACAGAGTTAGTGAGGTCTATTGCTCTATAAAATCGATGTAAAAGAGCAAGTTCACCTTGGGGTGGTCATTTGAGGAAGGTTTGAAATCCTTGTTCTGATAGTAAAATCACTAGGGCTTAAGACATGAGAGCAGTACAGAACATTTGAAGCTGTGTTTGGGCAAGTTTATCTGGCCCTTGGATCTAGATAGGGTATTTAGAGTGTGTGTGTATTGAACAGCGGGCACCACTCATAGTTTGGAAAGCATAACTTAATGACTTACCAAGAGTAGTTAGTACTGGTTAACGGAAGGGTGAAACCATGGTAAGTGATGTAGCCATCCTGGTTTCTGTCTGTGTAATCTAGTTAGTTTTAGTGCCCTTTTCACTTGTAAATATATCCTATATAGGTAGTAAATTTCACGATGACCCTAAAGATAGCGGGTCAGAGATAGGAGGGAAACTAAGAACATAGGAGACAGAGATACGCATTTAGAATTTGAGTGGTTATTGTCAGTTCACATTTGTAGTTCTAAGAGTCACGTGGTATGTAGTGTATGTACAATCTCAAATATTTTTTGCTCTTGTTTCTTACGTGTAGGCTGAAGGAGAAGACAGCCTGAAGAAGATGCAGTTGATGGAGCTTGCAATTCTGAATGGCACCTACAGAGATGCCAACATTAAATCACGTAAGAATGAGTCCGGGGCAGGATTATAGCTGTTTTCGTCTACAAGCCTCTTTGCTTTTGGTACCACAGCATAAAAACAGTTAATGTTGAAGTAATGATAACATTTACAATTTGATGAAGAGCCCCATTTTGTTTGTTTGTTTTTGTTTTTAATGCTTCTGTAAACAATGGCCTGCTCAATTTTATTTTATGCCAGCATATCAAGTTTGGGGTTGAAAATTTACTCCTAGTGAAGGGGTTCAAGAAATGTCCTATCTAGTTAAGACTTTAAACTTGTTATGCAAAAGACAGTATTTTGAATTTTTTTTTATAAACAGCTTATTAAAGTGTTTAAATGGACCTGCTGTTGAAATTCCCTTTCCCCTTGCTTGTGTGTTCACACTCACATTTTGTTTGTTTGTGTTGCTGTTTAAGTTCCTCAGTGAGGGAACACTGTTTCACTCAGTTCTCCCTTCCATGACTGGGGCACAATTTTATAAGCTATCTGAGAGAATAGATTTTTTTGTTTGTTTGTTTTTGGTTTGGTTTGGTTTGGTTTTTCCAGACAGGGTTTCTCTGGCTTTGGAGGCTGGCCTGGAACTAGCTCTTATAGACCAGGTTTAAGACGACAACATAAGGTTTATATGTCATTTTTATGAACATACCATATTTAGAACACTGACTTTTTTCCTTTTTTTTTTTTTTTTTTTTTTAAGAAATTGACATTTAAAAATCATAGTCAAAACTCCCAAAGGTAGGCAACCCAGTGATTAGTAATAGTTGCTTTGTAAATGGTTGCCTATGGTTTACTTTTAATAGACATGAGTTATGTGGTAGGGCTGCTCTCTGTATTCTTTCTCTCGTGTAGTAGTAATCCCTGACATGCTGGAAGCATTTATACTTGGTGCTTACTTAGCTCACTTAATCCAGGGAGTTTTCCTTTAAATTGAAGGCAGAGTTGCACTTGGAAATAAACCATATCTGTGTCTGTGGACTCCAGTTACAATCTTTTCATTTCATCTTTTAATTTGAATGGTTTTGTTTTGGGGGGATTTTTGTTTGTTTGTTTTTGCATGTACTTTTAGTTTCACAAAATGTTTTATAGTGGATATATCACCAAAGATGAACAGTATGAAGTTTTAATGGTATTTTTCATTTTTTTTTTTTTTTTTTTTTTTTTTTTTTTTACAGTAGGTTTTTCAGTTTTACCTTATTTTTAATCACGTTGGCAAAGGGGAGGCTGATGGCATTTGATTTGTGTGCTTTGGCATTTTTGTGTGGTCAGTGCATGTACTAATGGTTTCCTTTTATTTTCTTCTTTCCTGCTTTTTCCTGTCTTTTTCCTACTTCCCTCTCGTTTCCCCGTGTTTTATGCTGCCATCCCTATACTTCTTTCTAAATTTCTTTGCTCACTGTAGCAGCCCTTGCCTTTTCTCTTGCAGCAACTGCCCAGGCTGCTCCAAGGATCATCACCGGGCCTGCGCCTGTCCTCCCCGCAGCTGCCCTGCGCGCCCCTACGCCAGCTGGCCCTACCATAATGCCTTTGATCAGACAAATACAGACCGCTGTCATGCCAAACGGAACTCCTCACCCGACTGCTGCAATAGTCCCTCCAGGGCCTGAAGCTGGGTTGATCTACACACCCTATGAATACCCCTACACGTTGGCACCAGCTACATCAATCCTTGAGTACCCTATTGAACCCAGTGGCGTGTTAGGTAAGTATGAGCCCAATACTAGGTGCTTAATGCCTTCCTAAATTGTGGTGCCCCAGACCTTGAATTGATGTTTATCAAATTTTAGCGAGGCAATATAAGTTTTGATTAGGAAAGGTTGAAAACTAAATATATTTTGGTTTTAATTCCTCACAAGAGCTCTCCCATTAAATGGCTATACCTTAATTTGTTTTTAATTTACTTTAGTATCTCAGATTCACTGTAGGTACACTTGCCATACATTCTCACTGGACAATGCTCTTACTACTTAGGTGGCTGAAGTCGTTCTGAGTTTTAGGCCATTCTTGCCACTTTGACCTAATGGTCTCATCAACTCTACCTCCCAAAATTAGATTTGTTTGTTTCATAGGGTTACTTGCTAGCTGAATTTTAAAGTTCTATACTACTGAGATTTTTATTAAATTGCTATTATTATATATTATTTAGATGTTGCTGATCACTTAAAGGATGCAGTTGATGGTTGCAGTTTTAAGGGTTTTCAGCTTTTGTCTTTTGAAGTGCTGGTTAACATGACCAATACTTTATGGTTTCCATAGTTACTATGAACTAGATGACCACACATCAACTTAATGAACTTAGTCATGTTAGAGGCAAAAATTAAAGTCATATGAAGTCAGGGTTTACATGATCAAAAAACAATATTCTTGAAAAAAGACATTATTGATGCCTTTTTTTTATAGAGTGGATTGAAATGCCAGTCATGCCTGATATTTCAGCCCATTGACTTGCTGGATGAAGGACTAGAATACAGCAGCGGTTATAACACGACCAGTCAATGTGGAAAACAAAACAAAACAAAACAAAAAAACCCTGTGTCTGTGCAACCCACTGTTTTACCAGACAAACTTTTGAACCTTTTTTCCCTGAATTGTGTGCTGCGTACTTGCTATTGACTTTTTAGAACTTTGATCTTTTAAAGGTCTTCCCCCAGCTTAATGTTAATTGGAAAATCTTTAATGAACTTGGTTATTAAGGTTTAAACTTGAAAATTCATTGTTCACTTAAAGAAAGCTACCATGCTCTGTATGTTATCTGTGTGTGTGCATGCACCTAGGTGCCTTTTGTTTTATAAACATTCATTTTATTGTAATGTTTTTTTGTCTGAGTCATTGTATACAATAAGTCAGAATTATACCACAGAAATGCTAGTGAGAGGCTATGTTCTGTTGCACATTTCTTGAAGCACTTTTGATTTAAAACATAACCTGTAACCTGTAACCTGTGTGAGTCTCCTTCCTGTCCATGCTCTGTCCGTGGCCCTCCTGTGCATGCTCCTCCTCCAGCACCACTCTGCTGCACTCACTCACAGCGTCTGTCCCTCAGGGCTACCGCTCTGGGCTGTCTGCAGACTGGGGCGCCTCACTCTCAGTGTAAGAGCTCCCTAGCTTTGCCAGACAGAATTATATTTCTATGCAATCTGCATGTCTAAAATGAAACAGTTCCTCAACCAGTTTACTGCTTAGAGACAGCAAGAGGCACTGCTGTAAAATTTCTCATTGTAAAGCAACATGTTGTTTGGTTTGGTTGGGACATTTATAATTATGAAGACTTAAATATTAAACTGGCAAAATTAAGTGCAAATTATGCAGATACCCAATTAGCATTTCAAGGTTCTTAATAAGTACTAAGTGAGAAAAATATTCTTATGATTATTGTTATTTCTTGCTTCGCCACCTAAGCAGTAAAAAACAATGATATCGGCCCTCTGGAGAACTGAGGAAGTAATTTAAGTTCCCAATTTACAGTAAATTTGCACACAGATAACATGCATGCTTATGTATCAAGTCTCACATTATTTTAAAATAAGCAGTGCCCTTCAAAACAGATGCAGACATGTGTGTTGGTGGTAGTGAGGAGAGGAGATTGGTATTAGCATCAAATCTTCATTGATGACTAATGTTTAATTCCCTTCCTTTTATCTTTAGGTATGGCTTTCCCAACGAAAGGCTAAGAATTCAAGAACGGTCTTAACTGAACCCTCATCAGATCTGAATTTAACCAATGCTTAGTCTCAGCAGCCTCCGGGGAAAACCTTAGCCTAGCAGTCAGTGACTTACTTGCACTTTTGCACATAGATATAAAGTGAAATGATGTTATTAATTTGGATTAGTCTGTAATACTGCAAAGTAACGGTAATTTATAAAGGAGTGTATAGTAGTATACTGACTGCTAAGTGTACTGTACTGTTTGCTTTACTAATCACCTAATTCATTGCAGTTCATACTTATTGACTCGGAAGTTTAAAACCACAATCTGTAGGCTTTAAGAGTTGCTTTTTAAACCTTTTTAAGTGATAAACTCTGAAAGTTAAGGTTAGCAAATACTTGTCAGTATTAAATGTGGCATTATTTAAGTCGTCCTGCTGCAAGAAAAGGAAGGCACTTCAGTGAATCTGTGACTAGTAAAGCTCAGCTACGTCTGCCTCTAACAGAGCTCACGAGACACTGTGACTTGGGGACTTTAAACGAAGTGGAAGGCCAGCCTGTTGAAATGAACGCAGTATGGGTAGATGCATATATACAGACGTGCTACAGTTAATTTTAAAACTACTGTGCCTTAACGTGTTTCTTAAGCTTTTGTAGTGAGTGAACATTTGAGATCCATTTTGATAAGCCTGCTGTTGATGTTTCCTTTATGTATGTTTTCTAACTTTGTCTTGGTAATTGCAATTTAACTAGGTGCGGTGGCTACTAAAGTTCGAAGGCACGATATGCGTGTCCATCCTTACCAAAGGATTGTGACCGCAGACCGAGGTTAGTTTAGTTCTGCAGTTCTTGTTTATAAGCAATGCTCTGGGTGTCCATAAAGTTTGCAACACCACACCTGGTGGGGAAATGTACCTGTTTACCTGCTCACCATTTCTTTTCCTTCCCTAGATTAATGTAATAATTGATTGGTTGAAGGTTGGTTTTGTGGTTTTGTTTTGTTTTTTTCTTTTTTGGGTTTTCACCCCTCCCCTTTATATTTTAATTTATTAAATCTTCTATTACTATGTCCTAAAGTTTATTCCCTGTTAAAACATAAATTAGTGAATTTGAGAAGCTATTAAATTTTTTTCTATTACCTTAGCATGAATATTTGGGTTGGTACTGCAAAATGAATTGAACAGATTATGTTTTCATGAGAGAAGTAAAGGAATTTGCTTCTCTGTAATTTTGGAAAAAAACTGAAGATTTAGTTTCCATTTTTCTATATAATAAAACATTGAGCCACTGTATAAACATGAAGACATATATGTCAGTACTTAGCTAAAATCAATAGTCAGGACTGTGAAAATACTTTTCATGTAGGTGGATACTTTATATGAACTAGAAAATGAGTTCCTTCTTACTCTATTTTCTTGCCAAAATGGATCCTTTGAGTTTTGACATTTGCTGCTAAAATATAGTACCTGAAGGTAAACTCTCCTGAAGTTCTGTGGTATGTGAGATCCAACTATTGGGATATCCTTTTTGACTAACCTGTGACTGGAAAACAATTCTTCATTTTTTCACTTTGATATTTGTAACTTGTGCCTTTGGACCCATTTTTAAATTATTTATGCTTATTTGAGGAATGGTAGTTTCGGTTTATTGACATTGAACTCTTCTTTTTTGTTTGTTTTTTTTTTTTTGTTTTGTTTTGTTTTGTTTTTTTTTTTAATTGCAAGATTGGAACCCCAAGCATAGTAGAAAAGGACCTAGCTCACTTAACATGGTTGTCCTTGACTATCCATCACACATACTGGACACAGTTGTTATGTGTATCAGAAATAAAATGCCTTTCCAAAGACATTGATGATATTATTTAATATCATATATACTGAAAGAGTTCTGAAAACTTTAGCTAATGTGTACATTTTTCTGTAGTGGCTAATTAAGTAAACAAAATAGATCCTTGTCTGGGGGAACATCTGTATTGATAATAACTCACGCAGTTGTGCCAAGTCTGAGCACATCAGCCATTCTGTCAGTCACCTGGAGATAAGGGAGTTAGGTGGGGGAAGTCACTTTAGGTGGGCAGTCTCAAAAGTAATTGAAGCTGTTTCTTACTGCTAAATTCTAAAGTAATTCTCTTAAAGAATGGTTTGATTTTGAAGTAATTTTTCTTCTTAGATTTTCTTTCCCCGTGTTTTTCTTAGGAGAGTTTCTATAATTTTGTTAACACAGTATAACCCCTTCTCACTTCCTACTCCATAGCCTTCAGATAGAGAAAATATTAGACCAAGATGTCACATTCCATACATGGCTCATTTGTAGCTGTGTTTATTTTGATTAGTTATATTTGTGTTTGAAATGCAATGTCAGCAAACCGAAGTGCCCTTTGCCTTCCTCCCTTCTTTTTCTAGAAACAGATCGCTTACGCTTACTGTCACCACGTGTACCCATTGGGTCTGAAGGAGATGATTGAAGTCCTTGACTCACATTATTTTATGATACTACTGTTTTCTCTTATTTTTTTTATTTAAAAATAATGTTTTAAAGAGAGTATTATTAGCATTCATTTGATGCAAGGACACAGCCCAAGGACACACAACCATGTAATTACGTATGAGCATTTAGAGTGGTTGCTTACCGAAAACAAACCCACTTCTATGCTTAGTTCAAAGTCAGTCTGAAACCTAAACACCAACTGACACTTCATAGTTGCCATGACCTGTAAGTGATTTTGCACAGTTGACATGCCTGTGTACTGCGGGAGAGGCCAGGACGTGGCAGAGGATGTATGCTAGATGTACTGGATATAATTGTTTGTTTTGTTAAATATTCCACGTTCAAACATACTCAGAAATTATACAAGGAATGATTTGATTAAAACTGTTACTTACACAAATTAAATTTTGGAGAGCAGCATTTTTATTTTTAAATTTTAAATAAAATTCCATTTCCTTTTAAAATAATTCAGGGAAGATTTGATTATATTGAAGATACAATATTTTTGTAGTATTTATAAGCTGTCCTAATTGATAAAGTATAGAAAACATTTTTGTCATACAAAGGTAAATAAGTCTACTATATAGAACATTTGAACCCTTTGAACATACACCTGCTAGGTTTGATTTGTGAAGTGGCGTAGAGTCTTTGCACTGAGCATCTTTTCATTTACATCTCTCCTGCCTTTGCCACAATGGCAACAGTGCAGAAAATTCTGTCAAACCTCAGAATATAGGAGAAATAATTAAGCTGTTGAATGCGTCTTAAAAGTCGTACTACTGTTAAGTGGACCAAGTTTGGTGAGGGAGAATGTGACAGGATGAATAAGGAAGGAGACACTCAAGGATATTTGGAGTGATAACTTTTCCACTTGAGAACTACTTTATGTTTTACTGTAATTTTTTTTTAAATTTTTTGTTCTTTTTGTTACTTTGCAAAAGAAAATAGTATTTACAGGTGGCTTCTTTTAAAATAAAGATATAAAGCAGGAATGTATATGAAATGTCAGATTTTATTGTATTTGCAGAGTATTAGCTTTGAAATTGAATAAAGAAAGCTGTTTGTAGTTTTAAAATGCCTTATTGGTATCAGTTAGAAATTTCTTCTATTTTTTATGTACGTAGAATTCTTTGAGGTATAGAGTTTTAAATGGCAGGATTTTACAGTGTTTACATGCAAGTGCATTTTATAAGTGTTGTATATGTGTAAATTAGTATTTTCAACTGGAAAGTGTTGGCTGGTGCAAAAGGCCTGGCCTTTTCTGGTTCCCATGATGTTGCCTCCACTGCTAGACTACAGTATTGCTTTGTATCATGAGGCCAAGAAATTCCATGTTGTTTGTAAATAGAATAATTGAAAAAGCAATAAACATTTATTGAACAAAAGAAACCTTGTTTGGCCCAGAGTTTATGTTGAACCAAATTTTCATAGAAATTTAAATTTCTTTAGATTCATTTCTGTTAATCATCAGTTATTAATAATCACATCCATCATTAATAGTTGCTTTATTGCTTGCATCTGAGAGAATACTAATGCTTAATAGCAGTCAGATACTCATAACTGCACTGACTGTTCCAAGTTCTTTATACCAAACCTATTCATCATTGTTTTCCAGTTTCCTTCATTGACTGCTACTAACTATTAGTTGTTAGCTGTATTTTATTTCTATTTTTTCTGTTAACAAGTTGGGTTGTTTTCAAATTATTTTTGTGGGAGTGGGCTCTTCTTATTTGTTCAAATCATGATATGAAATTGTCATGATTTTTATTGTATTCTGTAGATGGTGTCAATCAGTTTGTCAGAATTCAACATGCTTTTTTTATTAGTTGTGATTAGTTTTTCATGTTGTCATTAAGCCGTCACTAGCTGAAACTAATCTCTTCTCTATCTTTTCTTTTCTTTTTTTGTTTTTTGTTTTTTTTGTTTTTTTTGTTTTTTTTGTTTTTTTTGTTTTGTTTCTAACCACCCAGCCGCCACCGGCAACTAACCTATGACCTTCTGACCTCTGAACTCTTCACCCAATGATGACCTGACCATGCCTGCCTGCTGATCAGTTAACTGGTAATCGCCTTTGCTTGCCTGTCGTCAGTGCAGCGAGCTGAGGCACTTGTCCGTTCGTCTTACCATCTAACCAAACAAAAGACAAAGAAATTGTCCTCCAACTCAGCTTTTCCCCCCCGTTTGGGTGAAAGTGGTTCTAGAACCTGCACTGAATAGTAGTAAAGCAATAAGGCCCGATTCATCCCACAGCACTGATCATCTTTCAATGCCCCACCCCAAGCGAACGGTAAGAAGGCCTCTCTTTAGAAGGGGAGACAGATGGCCCTAACTACTCAGTGACAGAGGCAGTTACTGTGAGAGACTTGTAGGAATCTTTCTCTTCTCCTAGCGAAGTCAAAGCTCTCTCTGAATGTACTGTGTGACAATGCATCATGCATGAACCTTGGGTCAGGGGTGTCATTGGAGAAGTGACTTCAAAAGTATTCAGAATTTGACATGCTGTTTGCTTAGTCACTGCAGTGCCCTCAGAGGGCAGAAATTGCAGCCTTTTTATATTGCCTGCCAAAATTTGAAGTATTAGTACAAACTGTGCCATGAGAGAAAATCTTAACAAGGAGTTTTGAAAAGTAATGCAAAGAACAAAACTGCAACACTATTTTTAAAACGTTGAGTATCTGAGTTAAAATTTCCAAATCTTTATTTTATGCCACCTTAAAAATTATACGAGAACAAGGTACATGCATTATGTGTCACATTACTGGGCAAACTGTTCAAATATTTTTTTTAAACCTCCCTGTATAGAAAATAACATTAAGGATGTAAAAGCCATGCTTGCCTATTTGCTGTACACATGTAATGAAATTGTAGATAAAGTAGTGCATTGAAACAAATGAACAAAAAGTAGATACTTTTACTATACAAGGGTGCTGGTGCAGAAAAAAATATATATATTTTTGGAAATGTAGCATTTTATACTTTCAAGTGTTATAAAAAAAAAAAGAAAAAGAACAAAGAAACCCTTTATTTCATTAAATGATTTTTTCTGGTGGTTGTCAAGAAACAAAAGACCAAAAGAGCCTTTTTGTCTTTGTTTTTTATTTTTTAAGTATTGGAATAAGTCTAAAGAAAAAGAAAGTGCCTTATTTTCCTTCATGGTCATTTAGTCAAGTGTCCTGCAAGACCAGCTCCTCCCTCAGAGTAAGAGTTAGTGCACGTCCTCCACCGCCCAGTGTGTGAAAGGAGACAGGAGGAAAACAAATGAGTTGATGGTCGAAATTACATGGTTCGTGTCTTGATATCTTGATGTCAATTTGCCAAATCTGATACTGTGAAAAAGATGTGATAGCTATTCTAATGTCTGACTAGTAAATTTTAAAATGCCATTCTTTTACAAATCATAATTGAGTACTTTTGGTTATTACCGATTTCAGTGTTAGCCCAGAGGATTCTGAGGTTAGAACAATTATGTGAGATCTGAACATCAGTTTACAGACAAAATTAAATTAGAGCTTTATTTTATTTAGAGAAGAGGGATTTATTGGATTTTTTTTTTCTTAGTAATTGGAGATAATTGTAATATGCCTAACAAAACTTTTTCACAAAAAACAAATCTTTGAAATTTTTTATTGTGGATACAAGTGTTAAGTAGCCCTAATTTAATCAGACTTTGTGTCATACCAAATACCTTGTGCAGTCCCTCTCTGCTGGCTTTAGTAACTGCTCCTAAACACACACACACACACACACACACACACACACACACACACACACACACACACACACACACACACACCCCTTAACTTGAAAGGAATGCAGAAAGCTAACAACACAGTGCATATAAACGCTCAGCTACATTCCTTTTTCTTTTCAGTTTCTCACAAAGTTCAAACGGTTTTGTAGTAAGCAGTTTGTATGCATCTAAATACTTGAGTTGATAAATCATTAACTGCTCAGTACCAGATGTGGCAAATGTCAAGCTATGGCTCATCAACTCATGCCCTCTTGCATCCCTTTATGGCTTCACCGTCAAGGTCAGCAGGAAGCTCCTTGGGCACCTTCATGGTGACCTCACCGTTATTGTATCTCACTTGCAACCATTTTCAGTTTATTTACTATGCAATAGACAGTCCTTGCTTTGTACTCCGCTAGCTTTGGTTTAATGTACCACTGCTTTGTTTTTCTGTTACACACTTGGTGATTTTGATTTATTTACAATATATGCTGTGCCATTTTGATTTTCATTTTTGTTTGTTTGGTTGAATAAATTTGCGACACTCAGAACACTTGAGGTGATAGTAAAAGAAAACAAACAAAAAACAGTACCAGTGTTTGATCCAGTCTCATCTCAGCTGTGTTATACCTGGACATTTTAGATGTTTATCAAAGGTCTTTCATGGGGAAGAAAGTAAATGTAAAACAATAGACGTGTGACGTTTATGAGTAATGCTGGCTCTGAACAGACTTTTGGAAACTTAGTTGACAATGTTTTGAGTCCACTGAAAAAAGCATGACTTGGAATCTCTGAATGCCTTGGTTCTCAGTATTATCACTCTATTGAATTTTTTCTTATTAAAGTATGTAGTTTTTAAGACTTTTTTCCTGACAGTATTATGTAATTTTTTTTAGTGTGGGTAGATGGGAGTGTCGCTGGTATGTTACCATACAGCTGACATGTATTTTTCGTCTATTCTTTATTATCTTAGTAGTTTCATGCTATGTATGTACCATAACCAACCTATTGCCTATGAGAAACATGTAAGATAATGTATTTACAGCCATTGTTACAAGTTTATAATGTATTTTTCTATCTTGTTTTATATGTATGTTATATAACATTCAAAAGAATTTTTTTCTTGATTGAGAAAAGGATACAAAATGCAAAATCCACAATTTTGATAACTGAAAATTGCCGATTGTTTTGCAGTACTTTATTATATCGGGTGTCTTGTCTTTCTTGGGCTTTTAGTTAGCTGATGAATGAATACATTAGACACTTCTGGGTTTTAGTTGGGATTTTACATAGCTTGCATTTTAATTCTTTGGTTCTTTGCTGTTTCTATTAACCCATAGCATTATTTTAATAAATGTTATAATACCAACCTACTAACTCTGGACTATGTCTGTTTATTAACCTTTACGTGTTTAATGAAAATAAACAAAGATAAACAAAGTCTCGAGTTCCTGGACTAACACTGACGAACGTGACCACAGATAACATAATGTGACTTGTTTCCTGTGTTGTCTGTCAGCTGACGGTTGTGCACACTACTGCTAAAGCTTTGGGTGTTCCGGGTTCACCTAAGACGGAGGCGGGAACACCGTAGCGGCTGTTTTAGTCACCCTCCTAGTCATGCCACGGGCCTTTCAGCGTCTGCAACCCTAATTCCACACTCCTTTCCTGCTTCCAGACCAGCACTGTCTGCTGACAGCGTAGTCCAGAGATTTATTGTAATGATATACCTTGCGAACCCAGTTTGGTTCATGGTTGAACCATTGCCTTAATTGCTACACACAGGTCACTCCCAGTCACATTGTAACGTTAGAGTCAGTTGATGTTTTCCCTGTGTTTTTTTTAGCCAGCTATTAAAGCTAGGCTGCTTCACTAGGCAGTGCAGCCCAGTGCTGTCCATCCCCCACCCACCCCCACCCTCCTGTGTGTTACAGATCTCTTACTGGCTTTGAGAAGAGCCTAGACGATCCCACAAGAGGCGCAGCGGGGATGAGCACTGTAGTCTGTAGCACTGTGTGTGGTTCGTTTCCAGCAGAGGTTGGCACGCTCTGTGTAGAGGGACCTCTCAGTGTAACTCAACACTCAAGTCTGTTGTGTCGCAGATTCATAATTGCCTTGTCGGTGAAAAAAAGTTCTTTTATATGATAAAAAGAAAAAAAAAACAACCTCTTAGGATGAATTATGCTTTTGTAAGTAATGGTTTATATTTTGAAGTTGTATTTTGGGATCGTTAAAATTAAGGGCTGAAGCATACTGTTAAAATACTCTGTATGTGTGTGAAGCTCAGGACAGTGAGACTGTTAAATAACCACTGGTCGTCATTTACCCTGTGCGCACATGGGATAACCTGTGATAAGATAAGAGGGCGGTCCTGTAGTATCGCTAGAAGTACGGGTTGCCATTGCCCTAACAAGCGTGTGTAGTTCTTTGTAGGAACTTGAAGATGCTGTCGGGCCGCTGCACAAGTTTTCACGGTGTAATGTGTCACAACAGTTGACAGTTGTGTGCATGCAGTTAGCATTCTCTGAAGTCTGTGCGTGCAGTGCGGGTAGTTTACGTATAGTTATTTATGTCTCATTGCCACTGACAATGCTCAAAGACTGATTCAAACGTACAGATAGCATTGCAAGTCACACTTTTATATGACTGCGAAATATTAAACAGACAAAGTGCTGGGGTGGGGAAGTTCTAGAGTCACTGTTAGTTGATGCTGCTTGATGAGATGGTTACGTTTAGTGAAGCATTTTTCTTTAGGTAAAATGCCAAGGGGAAAAAAGTGCAAAAAATTATATTCACATCATTGTAGTGCAGCAACTTCAAGGGAGTTGTTGAAGTATCTTGTCCATAAAAAAGTGGTGCGTGTGTCTGTGTGCGCGCGCGCAAGAAAATCATGATAGGTATAAATAAAAATTGGCTTCAGTTCTATTACCTAGTCAACATTTCGTCAGTGAACCCTGTACTCTGTTATTGTGTGTGTGAGTGTGTGTGTGTGTGTGAGTGTGTCTGTGTCTGTGTGTTGAGGGGAGGGGTTGATTACTTGTGTGGCTTGTCTTTATTTTAAAGAGACGCGGGGGGGAAAAGTATCTGTAGCTGGTGCTCAGTGCTGAGTCAAACTGGTTAACCTGAAACACAATACACCACTTTCTTTGTTTTTGCTGTATGAATTGCCAGGGATTGGGAGAGGAGGAGCAGCAACTCCATGCTAGGCAGACGGGGGCCAGTGGTGCTGGGAACAGCAACTGGATCAAGTGCGGTTTCTATTGCTGAAAGCTCGCCGCCCCTTGAGACACTGGCGAGCACTGGGATAGTCTCATGCCACAGGGTAAACGTGACTTTATATATCTTTAAAGGTTCTGTTACTAAAAAGCTTTGAGCCAAATCTCTCTATTGTGGGTTATAGTACATTGGTATGTATAAAATTCTTAAATCTGTGTAAATGTATGTATGTATTTATATGTATATATGAATAGATATACGTGTGTGTGTGTGTTTGTGTGCAGAATACTTGTTCCCAAATCACACATGAATGGAAACACACAAATGACTGCATAAGGGACAATAAAATCTGAACAGCATCTAACCCTGCTTAGAAACTCCAAGAGTCTCACATTCTAGAGCTCTGCTTCTTAATGGATCACTGCTTAAAAGATGTCACACACAGGCTGTTTGCATTGTCTGCCCAGGTTCAGAAATGTGATGTGTGTCTCTAGACATTTTCCTGCCTTCTCAAAACGTTGAGTCATGCCAAACAGATCCTAATGTCTTCCTCCTGAAAGACAGTTGGTGAATGCGGTCTGTGCCTGTGCCTTGGTTGAGAATCTCACTGCTGGGAACGGACTCGGCAGGGAGCCTGCCTGTCCTGCCACCCAGACATCCTGGATTTGACCCCTGCAACCCATGGCAGAAGGGTGAACCAAAACCTCTCTTCTAACCTGAGCATGCGTGCAGTGGCGTGCACAGCTCACACGTACCACAAGTACAATAAAGTATTTAAAAACCACTCATTCATACAGTGTTTATGCCTTACAATGAAGAGCATATTGTGTGGGTGGCATTTGGGGATTTCTGTAATTAACTGCTTTTTAAAATATCAACTAGTCTGGTTTTGAAACTGGATAGACTGGTCTCAGCTGAGTGTATCAGCGCCTCTTGGGGTTTATGCCCTGCTTGCACAGTGCCCACTTAATTGGGTCCTGATGAAACCGCTGTGGGTTCAATTGAGGGGACAAAGTGAGGGAAGCACACGTTGTCTTGCAGCACGGAGTTAATCCTGGGGTTTTCAGGGTCATTCATTCATTCATTCATCTCAAACTTGGGTAAAGGATGCCGATAATGACCTCAGCACCTTGGCTGTGTTTGAAACCTTTGTACTGTAGAATTATAAGTAGTGCACCCTATAAAACTGAAGATAGGTTAGTGGAAAGAGTATAAACACATTGCAAAGCAGATGTCCAAAAATTAAAATTACTTTCAGGATTTCAGGTGGAAAATGTAACATGAAAGATCTGGAGCTAAGGTTTAAATTGGCCTCTCTGGCCGATACATAACTCAGCAGGTAAAGGCCCTCACCACCCAGCCTTAAACCCAGAATTCTTGACACCCCCCCCCCCACAAAGCTGTCCTTTGATCTCTATACACATGCTGTGGTATGCACACACATCCACACACGAGTTAGTATCATTAAAGGGGAAAGAAAAAAAAAAAAAAAAAAAAAAAAACTAGATCAGCAAGTGAAAGTCTGGTCTTCATGGAATTAGTAGAGTTTAGTTGCTATCAGGAAATTCAATTTCAAAAGAAAAAAAAAAAAACTAAGAAACTAGTATATCTAGTAGTGGCCTGCCATAGGTAAGGTCTAATGGTTTAAAGTGAGAGATACACGCAGCATTGCATGGGGAGGAGGGATAAGTTTTGCTTTCTGTTCTCCAAAGAGGCATGCCGTTTATACTCTTGAGTCACTGGTGGGCACATCTCCACTGATGAATTAGTATTCTGTGCATCGAGAGCTGATTCAAGACCTATTTGTTTATGCTGAAGCTTCCATCAGGCGATACCAGCCCCACCTCTGCACTCACAAAGCTCGTGTCCACACTTTGTTCAAACTGAGTAGTCCACAATTTCCACATACCTCGGGTTACAGCTGAAACATGACACTCCAGTCAGATGGGGCCACAGCCTGAAGCTCCAGCTTAGGTGACCCAGCAGTCAAGTGATTGTAAGGACACACTAATGCATCATTCACTAATGCAACATTGTGGAAATCGTGACTGATGGGGAGTGATGAAAGCCACGCTCAGTTCATTACTGGACATATGGCTGGCCACTTGACCATGCATAGAGCAGGGAAGAGCCACCTTTAGTGGATCTCTGAGGGAAATCTTCCTACCTGGGCAGCTGGAGGGAGGTAGAAAGGAGGTGAAGTTGCCGGTGTTGAGGTATTTTACTTATCAACCCTTAACATTCCTGAATTGCACATAGTATACTCACGCAATTGTCAGAAGTGTGTGTCTCGTTGAGTAGATTAGGAAGTTCGCCAGAAGCCAAAAGTCTTGGGTGCATTGAGAAGGCTGCAGGGCTTTTGAGTCTAAATGAAGAAGAAGACAGACATATGGACAGGAGACTGCAGTGGAAGTGGTCCAAATGGTGAACAATGCTCTTGCATTTTAATAGCCAGGGGTAGGTAACCTAGGCTAAATTATGATGAGGATATCAAAAGTCAGTGTGTAGTCATACTGGGAACCTCATCATATGCTCAGGGTCTTGGAGAAATTTTGTTTGCATGACATGATTAAAAAATATTGAAGGAGCCAGGTGGTGGTGGTGGTGCACATCTTTAATCCTAGCACTCAGGAGGCAGAGGCAGATAGATCTCTGTAAGTTCAAGGCCAGCCTTAAACAAAGTGAGTTCCAGGATAGCCATTATGTTTACGAAAAATGTCTCAGTGGTAGAGTGCTTTCTGCTCTTGCAGAGGATCCAAGTTTAGTTCCCAGTGCCTGAGTCGGATGGCTCACTACTGCCTGTGGTACCTGCCCTTATATACAACAAACAAGAATAAAATTAAAATATGGGAGGGAGTAGAGAGATGTCTCAGAGGTTAAGAGTCTTTAATCAGAACATAAAGTCTCACAAATAAAAATAGTAAATATTTTGAAAAGTATTGTTGAGCCCGGTGGTGTTGGCGCACACCTTTAATCCCAGCACTCGGGAGGCAGAGGCAGGCGGATCTCTGTGAGTTCGAGGCCAGCCTGGTCTACAGAGTCAGTTTCGGAGAAACCCTGTCTCAAAAATCCAAACAGGGAAAGAAAACTATTGTTGAGGGGCGCCTGGCCATGCCATAAAATTCAGAACAGATCCTGAAGCCACCCAGGAACCTCA